TCTAAATCCTCATTATCCACACAGCCGTTAGGCCTGGTGTACCCAAGTATATCACCTGATGTGCAAAGGTGTATCGCTTGGGGCAAGAGTGCTGCTTGCCCAGGCACTCATGCTATAATGCCTCTGAGGGCTAAGGAGATGTATTCTGCTTAAGAGAGGGCTTGGCTTTGTTGCCTGCCAATCCGCCTTCCGTGAGAAAGAAGGAGACAAGAAACAGGTAGAAAATATATCCTCTATGGTCTTGGTTCATATGGCTCATGATGGTTCTGAATTTCAGTCATTGCGCAAATATTTACTGGGTGCTTCCTCTATGCTAGGCTGTGTTGTAGGGGCTTGAGATATGTCAGTGAACGAGACAAAGACCTGTGCCTTTGAGGCACTTAGATTCTCCTGGAGGATGTGGAGCCACCCACACTTCATGAGGCAGGGATGGTGGTTCTTGTTCACCAGTATCCTCAGGGACCAGCCTGGAACTGATACATAATAGTACTCAAAATTGTTGGAATAACCTACTGCTTAAGAGCTTTGGAAAGTGCTAGTTGGTTTTAAGACTTTTCCTGGATTTCCATAGGAAAAATAAGAGAGAAAAAAAAAGGCCAAATGATTTCTTAGTGTTAAGAGATCTGTTGTGTTGATATGTTCTGTAATTGATCTTTAGTTATAAAGTTCTCAACCACAGAGAAAGAGAAAAACATTCAACGTACTCTAGCAAGGGTGCCTTTTCCTTGTTGCCCGGGAATTTGACTTCCAGTATAAAGAGTGTTTTGTTCACATTACAACTTGGAGTTCACATGACAATGATAGTTGATGTTGAATTTAAGTGTATTGGTGGCTTGGGCCAGAAGGTAGTTTGGAAGGATAAATTAAAGAGAGGAACTGTCTCTTCCCACCCTAACCCCAAGAAATGAAAAGAGAAATAATAAAAAGAAATGTATTGATTTTGGCATTCAAGTCATCATCCATCACGAAGTGAAATGGTGCTCAAGTCCCCAAGTTTCTCCTCAGCCTTGGTTTTCCATTGCCGTTTTTGATTTTGTAGCCCTGGCTTCCTTCCCATATACGTTTCCGCTTGGTGTGATAGGTAAAGGTGACGACAGAGTGTTGTTCAGAGTTGTAGACTACAACAGGACAGAACCAGGCATTGTTGTGAGCTTATAAGAACATAGATTTCAGAGACCAGCCATCACAAGTACTGCTGCAGGGCCCAGTGGGGGCCTGGAGCTTGTTGCAAGGATCGAGGCTAAGAGGAGGGCCAAGTGCCGGTGTGCTGTGGGGCCAGTGCCAACCCCCAGGAAGCCATGCTTTGCACTGACATAAGGGCCAGCAGACAGCAAGGCCTGAAGGAGGAGACTCAGAAGGAGGATGACGAAACCAGAGAGAAAAGGAGGAAAGAAGAAAAAATAGAAGTAGGTCGAGTGAGGAACAGAATGTGTCTCTGTGAAAAATGGATGGATTTTCCTGCCAAAGCAGAGCACTAGGTCATGGGATCTGAGCAAGGACAAGGCTTGGGACCCTTGTCTGAGGGTCTTTCTGGTGGGTCAGGGACGGACCACACTGCTGGCAAGTGAAGGCGGGGTTTTGTCTGCCTGTCAGTCTGAACAGCCAGCTGGTGCCCAAAGGACTTGAGGCCCTTTCTCCTTGACAGCAGCTGAGCTTTTGGGAACTGTTCCCTGTGGAAGGAAATGCATCCAGCATAGGAAGCTTACCGAAGCAAGGTGCAGGAGATGAACCCCAAGTCCTGACAGCTTGCCAAAGTGCCTGGCACTTGACTGCTGGCAGCAACACTGGTTTTGAGAATAGTTTACCATAATGAATTCTGACATCATTGCACTGTCTCAGTCAAGGATGTTGAGATGGAAGAAATGACATAATGTCAAGGGTCTGTGGAAACCCTCAGAAACAGGGAAATTCCTGGCTGTTTTGTCTCTCTTGGAGTAGAGTTTTTAAGCAACAGTTCCTTCTAGATATTTAGTGTACCTCATTAAATGTAAGAATAAACTAATAGTTTAGAGACACAAAAACAATTCTATGGGTTTTGTTTATTCCCCTCAAATTGGAGTATTTTATAGCATTTAGAATGTAATGCTTGCAGGTTAATTTCCTTTTTTTTGGTTCCTTTCTAGCCTTTTTTGCTCCTTTTCTATTATGGCTATAGTGGAAATGATTGGTTGAATAAAATTATGTGATAAAAATGTCTGAATGGCATGGGATTCGCAGAACATTTTAAGTTTTTGTGTTTGGGGAATTTTTTGCTTTTCTAACATTTGAAGTGTGTAATCTTTTCCCTCCAATCCCTTCTTCCTGCTGCTGTCAGAGTGCTCTCTGGTTGGACTGGGACCAACCTCATGGGTGTCTACACCTTCCATGGTGCCACATACATTTGAGTAGGTCACAGCCTCAGGCTTTCTCCATTCCGTGTTTACGGTGGCTTCTTTGCAAGCAGGATTCTTCTGAGCTTGAGGAAGAACTTGATTCTAAATGCTACGCTCTGTCCAGAAGGAAACTGGAAACAGTTTAAGAGAAACTTATATTTACTTCCAAGGCCTGGTTGGGAACGTGCTGGTTTTGCACCATTGTGTGTGACACCCTCGGGTCTGGAGACTTCTCCCATTCCTCCACCAGAGGGCCTCGGTCCTGCACGGGAGAAACCATCTCGTGCCTGAGAGAGGAGTTGAATTTCTCCATCCATCATTTATCATCTGAGGCAGTCCAGGGCATTGCCCTCAGACACCAGACTTCTTCCCTGGGCCAACTGATTTTCCTTGCAATTTTGAACCAGAATCTAGGAGTATCTCATCTCTGATCACTGGAATGCATAAGATTTATGTTATATGTATATTGATCATTTGCATGTCAATGGTACAAAAGATCACAGGCTCTTTTGCCCAGAAAAGTGATAGTGTAGGTATGGTAGAAAGCTGCCAGCTCGCCCTCTCACTAGTTTTATGAAGCTGGGTAAGCCATTTCACTTCTGTGTCATAATGGACTAGATTGTGTTGGGTCACGTATACTAGAAAATTCTGTGCTTTTGTAACTGTAGCTCATTCTGGAAGGAGAGCACGGAGGCATTCTGAATGACCAATTCCTATCTGTAGTGTTCCCTGGGTTACAATATTTAGAGTCCATACTGCTATTCAAGGCCCAGTTCCCACCCTGGTAAAGCAACCCTGTCAACCAGCATCTCCAATTATGCTGCCCTAGACCCACCATTATTTCATACAGTTCAGAATGCCCTTCTTTTGTGCATGGTGTTGTTGTTAGGCACTGGTGAGTCAGCTTTCGACTCATAGTGACTCAGTGTGTCAGAGTAGAACTGCCCCATAGGGTCTTCTAGGCTGTAATCTTTACAGGAGCAGATTGCCAGGTCTTTTCTCCCTCAGAGTTCAAACTGCCAACTTTTCAGTTAGCAGCGGAGCGTTTGACCATTGGGCTCCTATTTTTGTGCATAGTGGGAGCTTAATCAGTGATTCTGGAGTAGAATTAAATAGCGTATCCATACCCATCCCTTTTTTAGCTGTGGCACTTTCCTTCTCCTCATGTTACTTAGGAGAACCGAGCTTCAGCCCAAAGCAAATACTCTATTGCCTGTGAACACAGATCCATAAAAACAAATGAAGTGAAAAGGAGAGTAGATTACACGTCCCAGGGCCTGTTACCTAGTTTTTATCCACGTCTCTGCTAGATTTCCCTTAGCGTGGCTCTGAGTCCTGAGCACACGCCTCTCTTTTTATGCCACCATAAAGCTTCTGATCCGGTATCATCTGATGTGTGTGGGCGAGAGGAATATGGGATTGTTTATATATCTGTGCCTGTAAACCATTATCTTAAAGATCTGGGGCTGTTCTTGTGAATGAGAGTCCTGGGATGTCATGTAGGTATAAGATACGAATTGATAGCCCTTGTGAGTAATTGTAATGTACACAACCCACATTCAGTTTGATTTAATACCTTTGCATGATTTAAAATGTCATCCAAGAAGAGAGCCAAATACCTAGAGAATCTGCCACCCACTGCAGCAGCTGGCTGACAGGTTTGCACCGGCTGACCTGCTCTGTGGCTGTTTGGAAAGATGAGATGTGCTCTAATGAGCAGGTTATAAATATCACTGAGTTATGTCATAGGTGGTGGCAGTACTCAATGTTAAGGGACCGTCTGTGAAACCTACCCCGCTGAGCAGGCTGGGCACAGTTTTCAGACGGACAACAAGTGGGGCCCAGATAGATGGATCAGGATGTTCCTAAAGACTGATTTGTCCTTAAATGAAATGTGTCACCAAACATGTCTCTGTGGGGTGTGTGGTGCAGGTGAAGGAGAATCGTTCTGATCACAGGCAGGCGGCTCTGGGCCCCAGCCATCACACACTGGCTCTCAGAAGGGGCCTTTGACCCTTTGTTCTTTTTGTCAGTGCAAGATTGGGAGGAGGGTTGGGTTGATGGATTTCTCGGGCAGTGATTTATGTTCTCAGAGATGCAGAGTGGTTGCTTGATGGAGCCCCCTCATTCTTCATACCCTTTTATCTTGTTTCCTGCCCATATAAATACAAGTTACAAGAAGCTTTTACCTGCATTACATACGGGGCCTTGCTGATATTCCTAAACTCCTTTTGGCCGAGTACTAACACTCACCATGTAAATGAAAAGATAGGTTTTGGTGCCACTCAGCAGAGCAGGAAATATGCAGAGTCATTCAATGAACGGTAAGTTTGAGGCTAGGCTCTTGTGTCTTGTGATTGTTATTATTTTTGGTTTGTTCTTTTTTTGCCTCGGAACTTATTTTCATTCTTTGAGAAATTTTGATTGGGATAGTAAGCACATAAGATCATCAATCCTAGGTCAAATTTTTCAGAGTGACCAAAGATGGATAGACATATGCAGAATAATTGTTAGCTTAAAATCTAGCTGACAACTTTTATGTAGACAAAATGCATCAAATACATGTGTAAAGTATTTATTATTAATACACGTGAGATGGAAACCCTGTCAAATTCTGTGTGCACACAGGAACTTGACAAGAGGAGTTGGGAGATTTAGAGAGATCCTCAGAGCTGTTGAAACAAGGACAACTCAAAACCTGCGAATGGTAAGTGCAGCTAATGACTTGGTTGAGGACAGCAGGACACTTGCAGTGTTCTCTCCTCTGTTTATATATATATATACACGTATATATATATATATATATATATATAAGGTGTAAAATTTGGTAGATTTTAGTATATTCTCAGAGTTGTACAGCCATCACCAATATTTAGTTCTTGAACATTTTGACTCCCCATTTCCTTCTCTCAATCCCCCCAAGCCCTAGGCAACCACTAATCTCCTGTCTCTCGCCATAGATTTGCCTATTCTAGGCATTTTGTTTAAGTGGAATCATATAATATGTGCTCTTTTGTGACTGACTTCTTTCACTTGGTGTAATGTTTCCAATGTTCATCCACGTTGTAGCATGTATCAGTACTTCATTCCTTTTTTATGGTCAAATGATGTTCCATTGTATGGATTTACCATATTTTGTTTGTCCATTCATCAGGTGATGGACATTTGCATTGTTTTCACCTTTTGGCTATTATGAATAAGGCTGTTGTGACCATTGTATACAAGTTTTAGTGTGGACATATTTTTTCATTCATCTTGGGCATATACCTAGGAGAGTAATTGCTGAGTTACATGATATCTCTATGTTTAACCTTGTTTTTTTTTCCTTTCACTTTTGTTTTTTTTTATTATTATTCTACTTTAGATGAAGGTTTACAGAACAAACTAGCTTCTCATTAAACAATTAGTACACATATTGCTTTGCGACATTGGTTACCAACCCCAACACATGTCAACACTCTCCCTTCTTGACCTTGGGTTCCCTATTGCCATCTTTTCTGTCCCCTCCTGCCTTCTAGTCCTTGCCCCTGGGCTGGTATGCCCCTTTAGTCTCATTTTGTTTTATAGGCCTATCTAATCTTTGGCTGAAGGGTGAACCACAGGAGTGATGTCATTACTGAGCTAAAAGGGTGTTGGGGGCCATACTCTTGGGGTTTTTCCAGTCTCTGTCAGGCCAGTAAGTTTGTTTTTTTTTTTTTTGTGAGTTAGAATTTTGTTCTACATTTTTCTCCAGCTCTGTCTGAGACCGTCTATTGTGATCCCTGTTAGAGCAGTCAATGGTGGTAGCCAGGCACCATCTGGTTGTGCTGGACTCAGTCTGGTGAAGGCTGTGGTAGTTGTGGTCTGTTAGTCCTTTGGACTAATCTTTTCCTTATGGCCATGGTTTTCTTCATTTTCCATTGCTCCAGACGGGGTGAGACTAGTGAAGTATCTTAGATGGCTGCTCACAAGCTTTTAAGACCCCAGATGCTACTCACCAAAGTAGGATGTAGAACATTGTCTTTATAAATTATGTTATGCCAGTTGAGCTAGATGTTCTCTGAGACCATGGTCCCCACAGCCCTCGGCCCAGTAATTCGGTCCCTCAGGGAGTTTGGATGTGTCTGTGGAACTACCATGACCTTGCCTTAGACTCTGTGTTTAACCTTTTGAAGAATTGTCAGACTGTTTCCCAAAGTAGCTGCACCATTTTACTTTCCCACCAGCAATTATGAGGGTTCCCAATTTCTCCACATCCTTGCCAACACTTGTTATTATCTGTCTTTTTAGTTATAGCTATTCTGGTGGGTGCGAAGTACTCTCTCATTGTGATTTTCATTTGCATTTCCTTGATGGCTAATGACATTCAGCATTTTTTCATGTGCATATTGTCAGTACTCTCTCTTAAAACATATGAAATACATCCTGTAAGGCAGATAGGCCCTTTGGAAGAGCAGTGTGGTGAAAGATTCACGCCAAAACTCAGAGAGAGCAAAGCATAGTAGATGCCGAGAAGTACTTAGTTGTTTGGCTAACTATACTGACTGTAAAACTTAGAAGAGAAATATGAGTAAAGCGAGTTAATCAGCAGCTTAGCTTTCCTGTTGTCTTGAATTGTCTTTTCTTTTTTAATCTTTTCACCTTCCTGTCTGGGGAGGTTCCTTAATGACACCCGTGTACTTGCCTGATTGAGCTAAAGCCATTGGATGTTTGGGTGAAGGCCTAAAAGCTAAGCAAGTGTCACATGTCATAATCATTGTCGCAAGCCCATGTGAGATTGCAGTTTCTTTTGTCTCTTGTCATCCATGCCGTTGTCCTCCATTTATCATGAATCCTTTCAGTGCTGGGGGAGAGTATTCATTTGGAGCAAGGCTAAGAGATTCTTGTCATGGGAAAAGATTTCTAGATGAAGCTATGGCATTTTGGTGTCTCCAGAGTTTTTAGACATAGACACACAACTTGTGGGGCTAAATGGCTAAGCTGTAGGACTTCCTAGAATTATGGGGTTGAGACAAGATGAGCAACGTCACACACATACACACACACACACACACACACACACACACTACTACTACTACTACTACTACTACTACTACTACTACCACCACCACAGAGAACTCATTTGGTATTAGATATTTATTTGTATATTGATGTGATTTATAGGTGCCTTAAGATGTTCAAATAAAAATTTTTGATTTGTAGAATTCTTTAAGGAAAAATCCTGCAAAAATTATTGCCAAATGTCTTTTCTCTCAAATTGACCTAGTCCCAGCATTCCATAATAATTCTCAACTGGTCAGTGTGAACAGCTCCTTCCAAGATTTGGAAGTACAACGGAGGTAACTGATTAAATTGGCAAGTGTTTTTTATAATTGTTTTAAAAACACATGTATAAGCCAGTCTTTCAAAATTGCTTAAATATGGAACATGTGTTCATTTTTGTTGACTCTCAAAAGTATATGTTTCATTAAGGCAATGCGTAATTTTTCCCCATTAGAAGGTGGAAGTACGTTGAATTCACCATGGGAATCTGCCTGCTGCTTACTTCAACTTTAGTTTTCCAAATTAGGGAATATCTTCCATTATTATCTGAAGTTAATGATTTTCAAATCAATGTATTTTAACTTTAAAAAAACCCCTGAGATAAGATTCTAGATAGAGATGTGTGAAGAAGAAAGGGAGGAGGGTCTCTTCAAATTTTTTATTTCTGACGACAGTGAAGGAGTTCTAGAAGGCCTGGGTGGCCTGGAACTGCCCTTGAATGTTGTCAGCTGTTAACTGGTTAGTGTTGAATGTTGGTAGGGTGGGAGACACTTTGTACTTCATGTTGCATGAGGTGCAGGTATGCCTTTGGCTTGGTTGATGATCTTCAAGTGACTTAAGTTAAAATGTTCCTGATTCCTTGATTGTTTAATTAAAAGTGTGCATGAGAATCATCTGAGGAACCTTGAAAAAATACATATCCCTATCCCTGCCTTGGGACCCTGGGTGGTGCAAGTATTTCGTGATTGGCTGGTAACCTAAAAGTTGGCAATTTGAACCCACCCAGTGACATCCTGGGAGAAAGGCCTGGCGATCTGCTTCCATAAAGATTACACCCAAGAAAACCCTATGGAGCAGTTCCACTTTGTAACACGTAAGGTTGCCGCCATGAGTTGAAATCAACTCAGTGGCAATGGGTTTGGGTTTTTTTTGTTGTTGTTGCTTATACCCTACCTCAGAATTCTGACTGAGTAGGTCTGGGGCAAGGCCTGAGACTCTGTATTTTTTTGAAGATTCCACAAGTAATTCTTTGTCTACCCTAGTTGAGAAGCACTGCCTGGGTCTTTTTTATTCACTCGTCTCCTGGTTTATACTGGAGATCAGAAAGCTTCAGCTAATGCCATTCATAAGACAGGTTTCCATTAGCCTTAAAAACTATATGCTTTGTTTTAGATTAGCTGACAATTGCAAATTTATAGTATTTCTATGAGATAGAAAAGTTGCCTTATAAACTTTCTCTGCCTTGAGAGCATAGCAGAGAAGGATTTCAAAGTACGTTTAATGGCCAGGTTTGTACACACTCAGGCCTTCTTGCTTCCCTCTACTCTTTTAATTCCGAAGTTATTTGATAGTTACCAACAAGTTTTAAGCATTTAAACTACAAGCTAAATATAACATGAATATAAAAAGGAAAAGCTATCATAGGATATTGGTGATCTTGTTGATAATTTCTCATATGTATTCTTTTTATGCTGGGAATGACATATTGAAGAAGAATGGCATTACATTCGTCATCAGAAAGAACATTTCAAGATCTATCTGAAGTACAATGCTGTCAGTGATAGGATAATATCCATACACCTACAGAAAGACCAGTTAATACGACTGTTATTCGAATTTACTCACCAATGCCAAAGATGAAGAAACTGAAGATTTTTATGAACTTCTACAGTCTGAAATTGATCAAACATGTAATCAAGATACATTGTTAATTACTGCTGATTGGATTGCAAATGCTGGAAACAAAGAAGAAAGATTGGTAGTTGGAAAATATAGCTTTGTTGATAGAAACGATGCTAGAGATCACGTGATAGAATTTTGCAAGACCAACGACCTATTCGTTGGAAATACCTATTGTCAACAACGTAAACAGTGACTCTACGCGTAGTCCTTGCCATATGGAATACACAGGAATCTAATTGACTACATCTGTGGAAAGACAATGGAAAAGCTCAATATCATCAGTCAGAACAAGACCAGGGGCTGACTGCAGACCATCAATTGCTCACATGGAAGTTGAAGCTGAAGAAAATTGAAACAAGTCAACGAGAGCCAAAGTACGACCTTGAATATATCCTACCTGAATTTAGAGACCATCTCATGAATAGATTTGATGCATTGAACACTAATGAGCAAAGATGAGACAAGCTGTGGAATGACATCAAGGACATCATACATGAAGAAAGCAAAACGTCATTAAAAAGACAGGAAAGAAAAAAAAGACCAAAATGGATGTCATAAGAGACTTGGAAATTTGTGCTTGAACAAAGAACAGCTAAAGCAAATGGAAGAAATGTTGAAGTAAAACAACTGGACAGGAGATTTCAAAGCGCAGCTCGAGAAGACAAAGTAAAGTATTATAAAGAAGTGTGCAAAGACCTGGAGTTAGAAAACCAAAAGGGAAGAACACACTTTGCATTTCTCAAGCTGAAAGAACTGAAGAGAAAATTCAAGCCTTAAGTTACAATATTGAAGGATTCTATGGGCAAATATTGAATGACATAAGGAGCATCAAAGGAAGATGGAAGGAATACACAGAGTCACTGCACCAAAAAGAATTGTTCATCGTTCAACCATTTCAGGAAGTAGCGTATGATCAAGAGCCAATGGTACTGAAGGAAGAAGTCCAAACTGCACTGAAGGCATTGGCGAAAAACAAGGCTTCAGGAATTGACGGAATACTAATTGAGATGTTTCAACAAACAGATGCAATGTTGGAGGTACTTACCTATCAGTGCAAGAAATTTGGAAGATAGCTACCTGGCCAACTGACTGGAAGAGATCCATTTATTTTTGCCCATTCAGAAGAAGGATGATCCAAGAGAATGCAGAAATTATCAAACAATATCATTGGTATCATATGCAAGTAAAATTTTGCTGAAGATAATTCAAAAGCAGTTACACCAGTACATTGACAGGGAACTGCCAGAAATTCAAAGCAGATTCAGAAGAAGATGTGAAACAAGGAATGTCATTGTTGATGTCAGATGGATCTTGGCTGAAAGCAGAGAATACCAGAAAGATGTTTACCTGTTTTATTGACTATGCAAAAGCACTCAACTGTGCGGATCATAACAAATTATGGATAACATTGTGAAGAATGGGGATTCCAGAACACCTAATTGTGCTCATGTGAAACCTGCACATAGACCAAGAGGCAGTCATTCAAACAGAACAAGGGGATACTGCGTGGTTTAAAATCAGAAAAATTGTGTGTCTGGGTTGTATCCTATCATCATACTTATTCAGTCTGTATGCTGAGCAGATAACCTAAGAAGCTGGACTATATGAAGAAGAATAGGGCATCAGGATTGAAGGAAGACTCATTAACAACCTGTGATATGCAAATGACACAACCTTGCTTGCTGACTGAAAGTGAAGAGGACTTGAAGCACTTACTGATGAACATCAAAGATTACAGCCTTCAGTATGAGCCTTCACCTCAACATAAAAAAAAAAAAATCCTCACAACTGGACAAATAAGCAACATCATGATAAACAGAGAAAAGATTGAAGTTGTCAAATATTTCATTTTATTTGGTCCACAGTCAGCGCCCATGGAAGCAGCAGTCAAGAGATCAGAAGATGCATTGCATTGGGCAAACCTGCTGCAAAAGACGTTTTTAAGGTGGTAAAGCTGGGCAATGAATAAGGAAGACCAAAGAAGAATTGATGCCTTTGAATTATGGTGTTGGCAAAAAATATTGAATATATTATGGGCTACCAGAAGAATGAACAAATTTGTCTTGGAAGAAGTACAGCCAGAATGCCCCTTAGAAGAGAGGATGGTGAGACTTCGTCTCACGTACTTTGGGCATGTTTTCAGGAGGGACCAGTCCCTAGAGAAGGACATCATACTTAGTAGAGGATCAGTGAAAGAGAAGAGGATCCTCAAGGAGATAGATTGACACAGTGGCTGCAATGATGGGTTCAAGCCTAGCAATGATTGCGAGGATGGCTCAGGACTGGGCAGTGTTTCGTTCTGTTGTACATACAGTCACTATGAGTTGGAACTGACTCTCTGGCACTCAACAGCAATAATAATTCTTTTTATGAACTTCATTTGAGCTTTCAGTGGACACAGCCAAGCGTCCTTCTTAAATGATAGTACACTGATAAGATGGTATCTTTAGAATATGAAGTCACCTCAAAACCTCATTTAAAAAAAAGTCTCTGGAAGGTTAATACCCTGCAGGAAAATGAAATCTAGCATAAGCTGTCTAGTGATGGACAAGCAAACGGATTAAGGCAGAGATTATTACAACTTTAGAATCCCTCCATGGTAGATATATCCAGGAAGTGAAGCCCCTCGTTCATTTTTTTCTTCTAACATTTATTTCTCAACTACAGTGAGTGGAGGTTATTTTTGCTAGTTGAAGCTTCCAGCAGAACTCACTAGCTCGTATGACTGAAATGAGATCATAATGAAACTATAATGGAAGGTTTAAGAAAACCGTTCCTGAACAGTTCAGGTCCTGGAAATTGTGTTCTTAGGAGATCTTTCCAGATGGCTGTGTTGGGGATGAGAGGAGTGCATTTAATTTCACATTTTTATAGATACTTAAAGCTAGTGGATCTTACTTGGGAATAATCCAGAAAATTTGCCTTTACCTGGTAGTTGTCAGAAACCACCAAACTAGTGATTTGGGTGCATTTAAGTTTCCTTGTGGTGTTTTAAGAGATTTCACATGGATGAAAGCCTAGCAAAGTTCTCTTCTGGAACGTATTTATTAAAGATGGCCCATTCTGAGGGAAGATCAGTGTTCTTTGTCCATGTCTTCCAGAGAGTGCTAAAACCTGGTAGAAATGCCTCCTGGTTGAAATTTTATTATCTGTCTGATTGTGAGGAGGCCTGGACTATCCCTGAGGCTCTGTACTTGTGTTTTCAGCGGGTTTTATTTATTTGTTGGTTGGTTTGTTTTTATTTCTCTTCTGTGTCACTGGAAGTTTATAAGGTAAATGAACAGACATGCATCAGTCACAAAATACTTCTTAGGGTATGCCACCACCACCTCTCCCACACGTGGTGCTTTTTTAGCATGTGGAGTTACAGAGGGTTTTGAAAAACATCTTAGTCTGCATCCAACTCAAGAGGACAAGATCCACCTATTTCTGGGTTTTCCCAGTGAACAAGGAGATACCCATGTAGCCTTGAAGGAAGCCCTTTCCTGATCAGTAGCCATAGCCCCCTACTTTGTCTCTTCTACTGTACAAGACAAGACCAGTGGGAGCCTCCGGGGCTCGGAGGCCCAGGGCACACTGAGAACAAGACACTCGGACTGCGTCCCAGGGGTAGAGCCATGGTAGAGCTGGCCCTTGGCGCTTCTAAGAAGGAAGACATTCTAAAAATCTATAGTGGATATCATCAGCGAAGAGATTTTTCCAGGGGTGGTATCATCTAGGTCGTTTGGGTTTTAGCTGGCATCAGTTGGGCAGTAATGAAAATCTCTGCAGTTTACCCGTTATTTGTAAGAACTCTGGGGAAAACTCTTAGCTTAAAGTTTTAGGTGTTTCAGGTATAAAATATTTAGTGTTCCAAAGTCTAACTGAGGCAGGGCAGCCTTTGAAGTATGTGAATTTTATTTTTAAAAAATGTTAAAATACCTTAGCGTATGATATTTTCTTTTCTTTTGTGTCATAGACTGGTACAATTTTCATCATAGAAATAAATTAAAAAAAAAAATCTCTAATTCTGCATCCTGGAATAATGCCTAGCACAAAGTGATGACTGATAAACGTTTATTGACTGAATGAATAAAAGAAAATAGGTTCATGGCTATGTGTTTCCTCCTTTGTGTTCCCAGACAATAGCCAGGCAGTTGGCAGAGATCTTGTTGCGGGGTATGTGTGAACAGAGCTACTGGAACCCCCTGGAGGACCCACCATGCCAGTCACCCCTGGATGATCCCCTCCGGAAAGGAGCAAACACAAAAACCTACACCCTCACCCGGAGACCCCGTGTCTACTCAGGAGAGAAGTATGGGAGTTGATGTCCTCATTGTAGATTAGGGGATGGGAGGGAGACTTTGGGAAGATTCCGGGATGAGGAGATTTTCCCCCTAAAAGAGAATCAGTTAAATAAGTCTTATCTACCAGTCAAGTAGGTTGACAGATACTTCATTACTTTTCATAACTTTGGACAATATCTCTGCTCTAGTGGGGACACTTGAAGTAGGAAAATGCTCTTGTCTCAGTGCTTGGCTGCCATTCTCAGCAATCATTATTGGTCTTTGGAATTCTCATTCCATTTATTGTAAGAACCCCAGTGTTACACAGCAATTGATGACAAAGCTATTTGCAAGCTAGAGCTAACATTTTTTCTTTTTTTCACCAACTCCTTCATCCTTTTGTTGAAAAAACTCGTTTTAAACTGAGCTAGCTGTAAGGACAGGGCAATAACTTGCAAGAGATTAGATATCTCTTTAGAACTTTCTTTTTTTTTTTAAACTTTCAAATTTGTGACTTTGGGGAAAATGGGACAGAGAAGCACTATACCTTAGCATAAGCTGAGGTCAGGGAGGGAGGAGGGAGAGATACAACAACGAGGGCTGGGAGACAGCAACTAATGTTGGCTCATTCCTGAGTCTTCACAGCAGAGCCTTTGGTTCCCATCTTTGTTCCCACAAGGACAAGCCATCATGGCCTTTTCAGAATCTCCCCATGAAGTAACAGGGAACATGCATGAATAAATATGAAAAATCTCTTGGGTTGTTATCAAATTGATAACATGGTTGAGAGACTGCAGGCTGCTGCCCCTGAAGCCATGGAGAAATCACTGATAGAGACGGGGATGCCCAAATACTTACTACACGTGTAGCATCTGAAAACGATTGTTGCATTTTCAAAGCGGGCAGCATTTCTAAGGCAGCTGCCTCCTAACCCTCTTCAGTCAACTCTGGCATTTCTCTCCCTCGTCGTCTTCTTGTTCAGTTTGTATTTCTTGCATTGATTCAGACAAGTGAGCATTTCTTAGCTTCTTCCTTAGCCTGGTTTAATTTGGTTTTCATCCCCTTTTTCGGTGGCCTTGTTGAGTCATACGTTTGCTTAACTGACAGTCCATGTTTATTCCTTAGTGCTTATCTGGAGTCATTAAACATCTCTTCCAGCCAGTCCCCAAACTCTCACTTGAAAAATGCTGACCCCCTCAGAATGAGCTGTTCGGAAGCAGATTTGGGGTTTATTTTTTTAAAAAAATATATTTATATCTTAAAAATAGACCCTAGATTATTATTTTTTTTTCTTTAGCCTCAGATGCTTCTTAGTATTTAAGGTTCCAGATACAGTGAGGAACTCAGTGCTCTCTACCCCTTCCCCCCAAGTCAGTTTGACACTTGAATGGAGCTCTGGGTCCATCTGATGCTACTTCAGTTTGCCCTCACCCTTGATGGCAGAAAATTTCAAGTTCTGGCCACTGCTCTTTTATTTCCTGAACCACTCAGACTTTGCTACTTTTCTAATATCAGCTTCCCCATCTGTATAGGAGAATTATGGAGGCAAAATGCAGATCTAGAAAATGCAGTCACTAATAAAGGGGGCATTCCCATACCAGGACTGGTTGCTGAGTCACAAGTTTCATTTCATACAGATACCCAGTTTTTTGTTTTTTCCCTTGAACGATTTTATTGAAATTTAATTCACACGTCATACACTTCATCCATTTTAAGTATAGAGTTGAATAGTTTTCAGTGTATTCAGAGTTATGCATCCATCGCCACAATTAATTTTAGAACATTTTCATCACCCAAAAAAGAAACCCAGCACTGCTACCCTCACCTCACCTGCCCAGTCCCTTATATTTCCATATGAATTTAAGATCAGCTTGTAATTTCTATAAAAAAAGGCAGCTGGAATTTTGATAAGGATTGCATTGATCAGTTTGGAGAGTACTGCCGTCTTAACAATATTAAGTCTTGTGATGTGTGAACATGGGATGTCTTTCCATTTATTTAGGTCTTCTTAATTTCTTTTGGAGCCCTGGTGATGCAGTGGTTAAGAGCTTGGCTGCTGACCAAAAGGTCTGCAGTTCAAATCCACCAGCTGCTCCTCGGAAACCCTATGGGGCAGTTCTACTCTTTCCTGTAGGGTCTCTATGAGTCGGAATCCACTCGAAGGCAACAGATTTTAATTTCTTTCAGCAATGATTTGTAATTTTCAGGGGATAAGGCTTGTACTTTATTTGTTAAATTTATTCCTAAGTATTTTATTCTTTTTTATAATACTGTAAACAGAATTTTCTTATTTTCATTTTTGGTTTGCTCATTGCTATTATATAGAAATATAATTTATTTTTGTATGTTGATATTGTATCCTGTGACCTTGCTGAACTTGTTTATTAGTTCTAATAGTTTTTTAGTGAATTCTTCAGGATTTTCTGTATGAAAGATTATGTCACCTGCAAATAGTGATAGTTTTAGTTTTTGCTTTCCAATCTGGATGCCTTTTATTTACTTGCCTGATTGCATTGGCTGGAAGCTACAGTACATTGTTGAATAAAGGTGATGAGATCAGACATCCATATCACGTTCCTGATCTTAGGGAGAAGGCATCTAGTCTTTTCACCATTAAGTATGTGTTAGCTGTGGGTTTTCACAGATGCCCTTTACCCAGTGAGAAAGTTCCCCTCTACTCCTAGTTTATTGAACGTTTTTATCATAAAACGGTGTTGAATTTTGTTAAATGTTTTTTCTGCATCTATTGAAATGATCATATGGTTTTTGTACTTTATTCTATCAATATGGTGTTATTACATTAATTGATTTTCTGATGTTAAGCCAAGCCAACCTTGCATTCCTGGGATAAATCTCCAGTTGGTCATGGTGTATAATTCTTTTTTTTTTTTGCTAGATTTGATTTGCTAGTATTTTGTTGAAGATTTTGCATCTATATTCATCAGAGATCCTGGTTTGTAGTTTTCTTGTGCTGTCTTTGTCTGGTTTTGGTATCAGGTGTAATGCTTTTATAATCGGCTTTTTGATCTCCATGAATTGACAAAAAAGAGTTGTGGAGAGGCCTAAGCAGTCCACAGATTTGGCCAGCTTATCCCTAATAAGCAAGAGGTGCCCTAAATTTTAAATTTCTTTCTTGGTACTCCCATCCTTCTACACCATCCTTGGACTGACAGTAGATTCTGCTTTGTTATGTTTAATAGACAGTGCGACTTGGGGGCAGGTGTTGGCTTTCACCTTTCTTGGCTTTCATTCTTCAGCTCTTATGTGGTTGGCTGTGGTTCACAGGCTGTATTTTTCTAGGAATTTCCCTAGTGGTGTCACAGCCAGGCATGTTAAAATGATGAAGGCACCATTATTGGGCCTCGATGTTGTAATTATATAGAAATCAGCTTTCTTGGAGGTTGGCAGTGCTCAAGGCCCTCTTTGCACCTAAACTGAGTCTGCTTTGACTTCTAGATTGTGTAGCTGACTCTTAGAATCCCACTCCTCACTTAATAGCTAGAGAAGAAAGAAGAGATGAAATGCAGTTGGATAAAGTTGCATTAATTTCTTTTATGTAATTGTTTCTATCACATACAGATATTCCTAAAGTTATTTTTTTTTTTTTCCTATCTAGGGAAAATTTTAGAAACAGCTATTATCTGGGAGCTATGGCAAGACCATGATTATTACTTATAACTGAGGATTCTCATCCATGTTCCCTGTGTCCTCTGTAAAATCAGATGTTGGAGTTGGTAAATTCAGCCAAAGCGAGACGATAGGTGCCTCGCCTAAAGGCAGCCAGTGAGTTAGTAGCATGGCCATCAACACTGCCCATCCCTTGTTAACCCAGGGCACTGTCACTGCACTTCCCCGCCAGCCTGCCATGGAGCTTGTCCTCACTGTCTGCCGATCCCTGTTTTCTCCCTGACCCCTTTTGTTTTCCGCTCTGCCCTTTAATAGCTTTCTCTGGGTCTGTTGTTATTAGTTGCCATTGCGTCAGCTCCAACTCATGGCGACCGTATGTATAACAGAATGAAACGTTGCCAGGTCGTGTGCCATCTTCTAGGGCCCCCCTTTTCCTACTCCTCAGGGTTCAAGCCTGGCACCCCAGGATCTCTCCCCACTGAGGCTCTTGGTTCCTAAAGAGGAGAATGTCACAAGAGGAAGGCCCCAAACAGTTTTGACCGTTTACCCTGAGCTCCACACTCCCCTGAACAGGGAAGAGGGAGGGAGTGGCCATAAGTGGGTCTAGAGAGTTCGTAATTATCCAGAGGGAGCATTCCAGTGGGTAATGTTTCAGGCATGTCTTTTAAACTACCCTCTCCTTCCCCTACCTCCACTTCCTCTTCCTGCCAGCCCTGGGAGCTTTGTAGCACTCATGAGTAACCATCTATCTTGCCTGCTGGGAAAGGGAGATTAGAGGAAGTGGAATTAGACCCAGTTAATGTGAGACTTGTTAGCACCTCTGGTCAAAATAACACAACCTAGCATTTAGGCAGGCTGGATGGCTCCAATGGAATTTGGGGATTATCCATGAACTGAGTTGGCCAGTGTTAAGTCACAATTAGCATGGGTTCCCTCCCTTTTCAGTTAGTCTGGGCAATCCAGAACTTGCTAGCTATGAAGAAATGGTTAATGTTACTGCTTTATTTGCAAGGTTCCAATTGCATGTAAGCACAAGCCAGGATATCAGGAAATGAAATGATTGTTAGGTATATAAAAGTATATATGCACATTAATATACATAGAGAGAGAAGGTAGTTCTCTATATGCAGAGAACTCTTAATTCAGAGCCTTTTAGGCTATATTCTATATTTCCAAATTTAAGGGGAAAGAAGTGTTCCATCTTTTGAGAAACCCGGGTCACCTCAAGCTGACTCCTTAAAGTCAATGCCAACCCCAGAGTCTCGCTCCTCGTTCTCAGCCATAGCCTTTTCATAAAATGTTAGCCCTGTGAGAGTACTAACGGGTGCCGCAATACAGGTGTTTCCTCACATCTAGCCCTGCAGAGTTGTAATGAAAGTACCAGGCCTGTACCTTTTCTTCTTGCTCTTCCTCATCCTGATGCAGTACAAAGACTGCCTGCACTTCAGAGAGTACGAGTCTTTCTGATGATCTGGGAAACATTCATTTCCCATATTTTTGGAAAATCATCCTATCCTTTAAATTAAATAATTGTAATATTGCCCCTGGGAAGATGGAAATGTAGTCCTTCTCCAGTCATCTCCAGGACATCCAGGGGTTCTTAACCATGTTCATTTTTAGTACAAATTCAAAGTGCTCAACGCACAGAAAAATAGGATACAGAGAAGGGAGATTGGGGTTGTGTTTGGGTTTTTATTGCTCTGTAATTCCGAGCAACATTGAATTTAAAAGCTTTATCTTTTAACCTAAGATTTTCGAGTTCAGCCAAATTCCAAAAAATAGATTAATAAGACAGACAGCTCTTGACATGCCACCCCATGATAAAATGTGTGTGTTAAAGTAGGATAAACTGCACTAAATTCTTGTAGTATTAGAGAAATTTTTCTTAACTTACTTCCAATCTTTTATTTCATCTAAATGACAATATAAGATATGCCAGTTAGGCAGTAAGAAGAGTACCGTTTAGTGAAACGTCTACAATTTGTATCTCCATAATGGGTTTAAGATAAAGCTTGTATTATTTAGATAACACTTTTTTAAAAAAAGAAAACCCAAAAACCAAACCCATAGCTGTCAAGTCGATTCCAACTCATAGAGACCCTGTAGGACAGAGTAGAGTAGAACTGCCCCCATAGGGTTTCTGAGGAGTGGCTGGTAGATTCGAACTGCCCACCTTTTGGTTAGCAGCTGATCTCCTAACCACTGTGCCACCAGGGCTCCAAATAACACTTTGTAGTGATCTAAATTTCTACCTCTCTAATAGGCACGTACATTACTTGGGCTTTTAACTTGATTTTTACAGTTTTACTTCACCCATCTGCCTGCCATTAAAATGTATAGCTAAAAAGTATAAATTCCATAGATAACCATAGAAATAAGCAAATCAATTCAAGCTTCCAGATTATACAGTATTTTTCATGGGTTGTATATAAAAATCTAGAAGCTTTAAGCATTGATTCAGTTCTACACGTAGTCGTATATTTTGTGTTATTTTGGAATTGCTATATATCAAAGTCTTTTTTTTTTATATACAGCATTTTTTGTCCTCAAGAAAATACTGAAGAAGCCCTGTTGTTATTGCTGATTAGTGAATCAATGGTAAGTGGAATGTGTTTTTACATTTTTCTTTCTCTTGTCCCTCTAGTCCCTTTTTCAGTATGGCGACGCCATAGTATTGTTACTTTGTTCTTGGGAGAAGAATACTTTCTAGAGGGGACCCCTGTGTGAGAGAAACCAGTAGAGGTTTAAAAAGAAGAATGTTTCTTCTTGCACTGGCTAGCCGTGCCCCTCGGTCTGCCTGGAGCGTGGAAACTCTCCTCGCCTAGCAAATAGCAGGCATCATACTTCATTCATTCATCCACCAAGTATTTATTGAGCACTGACACAACTGTGGAGCCCTAGTGGCACAGTGGTTTAGAGCTTGACTGTTAAACAAAAGGTTGGCAGTTTGAATCCACCAGCTGCTGCTTGGAAACCCTATGGGGCAGTTCTCCTCTGTCTTACAGGGTCACTATGAGTCGGAATTGACTCAACAGCAGTGGGTTTTACCGACACAATTGTGTGTAGTCACACTATAGCCAGGGTACCTTAAAAGGAGAAAGAAGCCTCTGAAAGATAACCTTTATATGCCTTTTCAGTTTACCTTGGTGGGAGGGAGAATTGGAGGATCAATACCTGGCTGTATATATGAGCCTCTACTTTTTATAGCATGAGCTGATGAAACTGCCTTTTCCTCCTGCAGAGGTAGTCTCTCTGAGCAACCACCTATCCTCCAGGTGTTGCAAAGTCTCAGGCTTTGAGAGCTCACTCCTGTCACCTGGCTCTGCTGTTGTGAGGGAGCTTTTGCCAGACCATCAGATTCCTTTGAAACTTTTTCTTAGTTTTTGGCCAGGACATTAGATTTTAGGTTTAAAATTCCGTCACTCATCACTTATTGGGTTTTCTTTCTGCAGAGCACTAGGCATTACAGCCCTGGCTTAAAACCTTTTTGTTGTTAGGTGCCATTGAGTTCGTTCTGACTATAGCAACCCTGCGTACAACAGAATGAAACTGCCTGGTCCTGTGCCATCCTCACAATCATTGTTATGCTTGAGCTCATTGTTGTAGCCACTATGTCAGTCCATCTCGTTGAGGGTCGTCCTCTTTTTTGCTGACCCTCTACTTTACCAAGCATGATGTCCTTCTCCAGGGACTGGTCCCTCCTGATAACATGTCTAAAGTACATGAGACAAAATCTCACCCTCCTTGCTTCTAAGGAGCATTCTGGCTGTACTTCTTCCAAGACAGATTTGTTCATTCTTCTGGTAGTGCGTGGTATATTCAATATTCTTCGCCGCACCGTAACTCAAAGGCATCAATTCTTCTTTGGTCTTCCTTATTAATTGTCTAGCTTTCATATGTATGTCAGGTGACTGAAAACACCATGGCTTGGGTCAGGCACACCTTGGTCCTCAAAATGACATCTTCGCTTTTTAACACACTAAAGAAGTCTTTTGCGGTGGATTTGCCCAATGCAATAGGTTATTTGATTTCTTCACTGCTGCTTCCATGGGCATTGATTGTGGATCCAAATAAAATGAAGTACTTGACAACTTCAATCTTTTCTCTGTTTATCATGATGTTGCTTATTTGTCCAGTTGTGAGGATTTTTGTTTTCTTTATGTTGAGTTGTAATTCATACTGAAGGCTATGTTCTTTGATCTTCATTATTAAGTGGTTCAAGTCCTCTTCACTTTCAGCACCCAAGGTTGTGTCATCTGCATATCACAGGCTGTTAATGAGTCTTCCTTCAATCCTGATGCCACATTCTTCTTCATATAGTCCAGCTTCTCGGATTATTAGTTCAGCATACAGATTGAATAAGTATGGTGAAAGGATATAACCTTGATGCACACCTTTCCTGACTTTAAACAATACAGTATCCCCTTGTTCTGTTCAAACGACTGCTTCTTAATCTATGTACAGGTTCCTCATGAGCACAATTAAGTGTTCTGGAATTCCCATTCTTCGCAATGTTATCCATAATTTGTTATGATCCACACAGTCGAATGCCTTTGCATAGTCAATAAAACACAGGTAAACATCTTTCTGGTATTCTCTGCTTTCAGCTATGATCCATCTGACATAAGAAATAATATCCCTCTTTCCACGTCCTCTTCTGAATTCAGCTTGAATTTCTGGCTGTTCCCTGTCAATGTACTGCTGCAACCGCTTTTGAATGATCTTCAGCAAAATTTTACTTGTGTCAGATATTAATGATATTGTTTGATAATTTCCACATACTGTTGGATCTCCTTTCTTTGGAATGGGCACAAATACGGGTATCTTCTAGTTGGTTGGCCAGCTAGCTATCTTCCAAATTTCTTGGCATAGACAAGTGAGCACCTCCAGTGCTGCATCTGTTTGTTGAAACATCTCAATTGGTATTCTGTCAATTCCTGAAGCCTTGTTTTTCACCAGCGTCTTCAGTGCATTTTGAACCTCTTCCTTCAGAGCCATCAGTTCTTAATCATATGCTACCTCCTGAAATGACTGAACGTCGAACAATTATTTTTGGTACAGTGACTCTGTGTATTCCTTCCATCTTCTTTTGATGCTTCTTTTCTCATCTTAATATTTTCCCCTTAGAATCCTTCAGTATTGCAACTTAAGGGGATTGAATATTTTCTTCAGTTCTTTCAACTTGAGAAATGCCAAGTGTGTTCTTCCCTTTTGGTTTTCCATCTCCAGGTCGTTGCACATTTCATTATAATTCTTTACTTTGTCTTCTCAAGCCGCCCTTTGAAATCTTCTGTTCAACTCTTTTACTTCATCATTTCTTCCTTTCCCTTTAGCTGCTCTATGTTCAAGAGCAAGTTTCAGAGTCTCTTCTGACATCCATTTTGGTCTTTTCTTTCTTTCTTGTCTTTTTAATGACCTCTTGCTTTCTTCATGTATCGTGTCCTTGATGTCATCCCTCAACTTGTCTGGTCTTTGGTCATTAGTGTTCAGTGCATGAAATCTAATCTTGAGATGGTCTCTAACTTCAGGTGGGATGTACTCAGAGTTGTACTTTGGCTCTTGTGGACTTGTTCTGATTTTCTTCAGCTTCAACTTGAACTTGCATATGAGCCGTTAATTGTTCCACAGTTGGCCCCTGACCTTGTTCTGACTGATGATATTGAGCTTTCCCATTGTCTCTTTCCACATATGTAGTCGATTTGATTCCTGTGTATTCCATTTGGTGAAGTCCATGTGTATAGTCATTGTTTATTGTTGTTGAAGAAAGATATTTGCAGTTAATAAGTCATTGGTCTTACAAAATTCTATCATGCAATTTCTGGTATCGTTTCTATCACCAAAGCCATATTTTTCAACTACCAATGTTTCTTTGTTTCTGACTTTCACATTCCAATCATCAGTAATTATCAATGCATCTTGATTGCATGTTTGATCAACTTCAGACTTCAGACTGCAGAAGTTGATACAGATCTTCAATTTCTTCATCTTTGGCCTTAGTGGTTAGTGCGTAAATTTGAATAACAGTCGTGGCTTAAAACCTTAGGGAATAATATGTGTTGTAGTAGTTAATTCCTTGCCAGGTGCATGATGTGTGTTGAGCACCTGAGCAAAGGGGCAGCTCGTGGAGCTTGGAAGAACCCAAGGTCCTCAAGTCCATTTACCTCATTTGATGAATGAGCGATCTGAGACTCAGAGCAGGCAAAATATATACGTTCTGCAGTGGGCTATTGCTCTTTCTAGTAGATTATACTCCGCCCAGTGCCCTTTCCATCAAGGAGGCAGGAGGAGAGAGGGGGAGAAAAAGGAATGGTGATTAAAGCAAGAGCAGCATACTGCTTAATTGGTAGTGTGAAGTACACTTAGGTGAAAAAGACTTGGATAGAGCGCACGAAGAATGTGCTTGTGCTGAGTAAAGGAGTGATCCATGGAGGCTGGGGTTAGTCAGGGAAGGTAGCATTCTTGCCTTCGCTTAAAACTTTGGGTTGTCTGGGTCTGCAAAATGGCCCAGAGATGTTTACAAGAGCAAGACTGCTTGAGTTACCATGTCTTTTTATTTGGAATGTCTTTGATGTCACTGGCCTTACTTCCTCTGAAGGAAATAGGTTGCTCCCTTGGCTCATCTTTCCTTAACAGTCAGCTGTTAACTCAGGGATGGTGTCATTTACATGCTCTACTCTGCCTTGGCACAATCGGGAAGGCACATATGTGGACAGGCCTGTCATTCAGTGGCATCAATAACTGTTTTTCAGATGAACAAGTCTCACCATGCTTTGTCACCAGTATTTTGATGGGGGCCAGCTCAAGTTGGTTTGCTGGCTAACCTTCCCTCATCCTAAGCTGGATCCTTCACAACTTGGTAGTTAGTTTCCTTTGAGTAAACTGGTCAAACTCCCTTGATGGGTTACATTGTAAAAGTTCTGAAAGCATGGTGACCAGACATTTTAGATTTCTTGGATAATTCTGACTGAAAATATCTGTTCCATTGTCAGTTCACATGTTCTAGTTTGGAATTTGGAAAACATGGCCAACCACATGTCTTAAATGCTTCTTGTAGGTGTAGATATCTTGGAAACATTGTCTCTACAGCTGCTTGTCTCTAATGCTGCTGTTCTTTAATTGAAGTGATAGAAACGAATCATACTCAAAGTTGCGATTCTTTTGAGACAGTAAAATTTGCCTCTGTGGTATTTAATTTTCCAGAAATCTCTTCAGGGGATAGTGAAATCCAATGACATCATTAGTAAATATGAAGTACTAGGTTTCTAACCAAAATGATTATGTTCTGCCTGTAAATCATTCCATAATTATGTAGGGAGAAATCTAAATTGTTTTTGGAAGCCTCTTTTCACGTCCTTTGACTTTTTGAGTTTTCAGTTTTTAGCAGAAGATGAATTTGCCCAATTTCAGAACCAAAGTGAAGATTGCCTTTTTTTTTTTGATGTCTAAGAAAATTGTATTTTTCATTCGTTCTAACTTTAACTTAGAAACAAAGATTTGTCTGTAGTCTGTCCACCCACAAGAAATCATTTGCAAGTGTACTGTTTTCTCAGTGCAAATAAATTAGTTTTCCCCAGGAGAAAGGGGTTATCAGAACTCTATTTGCACAACTACCACCAAGACAATATTCGGAGTTATTTATCATTTGTGGATCTGTTTAAGTTTCTATATTATACCTTTTAAAACAAAAGAGACTGGTAGGCTTTCTCTAAAGATTTAAAAAAAAAAAAAAAGCACTTGCTATAACTTGTAAATCTCTCATAAAAGTGTAATTGCTCTATTTTGCTCTCTCCAGGCATTGGTCTTAGTATGGAACATTTAGAGCCAATAAATAAAGCAAGCCCACTCTCAGCAGCCCCTGGTTCCTTCAGAGCTGCTTTTATTATTGGGCTCAGAAGTCACTCCGGACATGAAAAACTTAGAATGCAATCTTCAAGGAGATGACTTACTTTGTAGGAAGTGGCCTGTCTTACATATTCGTATTTGTCTTTGATACTTAAGAGCAAGGAATTCTAAAGTGAATAAGTACTGATGGGTGGCTGAAAGGAAAGGCCTTGGACTCCATGCAAAGAGAGAGTGTTTTGTCTCATTAGTGAGAGGGAAGGCGTGTGCGTAGCCTTTCTGAATGTCAGGCAGGAAGATAAACATCAGCCTGCCTGGACAAGTGACCCCTGCGCCCCATGTGCCACTGTCACAGTACAGGCTGAGGGGCTCTTTCTCTGCACCTAGAGATGGATGGATCTGGAGACTTCTGTTAATTAGCGGGGAGAAGCAGGCAGGTGAAATCTAACTTTATTGATTCTGAGCTCCTTATTAGGGAAAAGGGAAAATGAGCTAGCTGTTGAGTCTCTAATACATGTGATACGTCTACAGGAATCTGTAGAGAAATTAAATTTCAAAAGCAATGAAAACAAGTTGCTGCAAAGAACATTGGATTTCTGGCTAGATGAGATTAATAAGCTTGAATATGCCAGATGCATTTCTGTGCTAAGCAGTGGAGATGTGAAATTAGCAAGGTATTCTCTTGAGTCCTCTGTGGTATTAACTTTTAAAATACAACCCTGCTTGCCTCTTGCTTCCCCTCGTACATCTGTTTTGTGCTTCCCTAAACAAGGTTGAATTAATCTTTGTGGTCTGTTCTAGCGAAGATGTCATATAGGGATTTGAAAGTATTAAACCTCTCAGTAGGGCCGAAGGCACTTGATGACACTGCTTGGCGGTGGGAAATGCGGGGCTGGGAATGTTCTCCCCTGTGTAATGTAGAGCAGAAGCAGGATCTGAGAGTGAGATGCAGCAGGGCCCCCCTTAATGTATGATTTTGCTGTCCCAGAGCACAGCTCAGTTTGCAGCGAGGTTGTCTGTGAATCCAAGCCTCAGTGAAATCACCCTGCCTTGCATTGGCTTCCAAAGTTTCCGACAGGTACAGGTGCCCTCTGGGATGACACCTCCAGGAGTCAGTATATAGAGAATACCATGTGCGCTGGTGCTCTGGGGATCTTGAATAAATGACCCAAGGTGACAGGCCCCTTGCTCCCTCCTGCCCTCGTCTCCAGACCGTTGGTGAGCTACGAGAGGCAGCAGAACATGTATGACTTCCAACCATGAAGTGGTGGCTGTGTGCACGGGCTGGCTCACCATCTGCTTTTCTCTTCCATGTTTCAGGCCAACCGGGACGCTGTGCTGAGCAGGATACCTGAGCACAAGAGCGACCGCCTCATTAGCTTGCAGAGCGCGTCTGTGGTCTATGACTTACTGACCATCGCTCTGGGAAGAAGAGGCCAGTATGAGATGCTGTCTGAGGTACAGTGCTGAGTCTGGTTGGCTTTTGGCGCTGGGTGGTGGTGGTGGGGTAGAGTGTAGAGCATATGGAAGAGCCCTGAGCCGCGGTCCTGGCCTCCTCCTACCCCTCCCCCCAACCTCTATTGCTGGCAGCCATGTGACCTTGGGCCAGTCACTTTAGTTTCCTTCTCTGTAATAGAGGTTTGAGCTAAATGAGCAGATGGTGGGATTGATCGGCCATCTTTCATTACAAGTGGATTGACGCATCTACCATGCTGAGAGTTTCTGTGTGAGGGAAGGCAGGCATTTCTCAGTTTCTCTGTCAGAGTAATTTCCATCATAACCCAAAATCTCCAGTCTGTGATACTCATTTTCTTATAAAACAGTTTCATTTAAAGTATCAATGCATCACTCTTGTAAAATGGAGTTTCAGGCATTTCAGGTTAGCTGTATTATCAGGTCAGCTGCTATAGACTGCTTCATGGAGAGTAAACACTGTCTCCCTTCAGCCTTTTACTGGTTCAGAGGCCTAGTACATTCTAGATCCTGGGCCAGGTGCTGTGTATATCCACCTGTCATCTCCTCACCCCCAGCTTCTAAGAAGCATTTAGACTAGAAGCTTGACTGTTCCACATGTTTCAGAAGAAGCTGATTAATCTTGGGCTGTGGTAATGCATTATTAACACTGCTGCCCAGAATATCAAATGCCAGTACCATAAGGGCTAAATAAGTAATGAGATCATTTTATTATTTCTTTAGCAAAAGAAAAAAGAAAACAACAACCTGTTTTGTTAAACTGGACTTTTCCATGTTATTTATCTTTCTCTTTCTAAATTTATACCCATTGCAACAGCCCCTGGGCACGAGGACAGGGAATGAAATGCAGTAACAGATTGGCTGAAATCAGATAAGCGCCGACTCACCCTCTAGCCTGCCGGTGCATTGCCACATTAGGCAGGAGTTCGGGAACAGATGAGCCACCGTGGCATGAAGCTTTTTTTAGTCTTTGGTTTGGTGACTATACAGGGCAATGGTTACTCAACCTGCAAAAAACCCCTCACAATCCGCCTAGATGAAGCTGTGTGTCCAGATGCCCCTGTCACGCACAGCACACCCCTTGGGACTCTGTCCAGCCTTGGGATCAGCGCAGATAATGATCCTGTGGGGGCCTTGATTTTCTGTACTGTGGAAGGCCCCCCTCCTGCCGACCAGCTTAGTTTCTGTTTACTACATCCACCACGGGGCCCATCTGTGGGGACAGTGCCACCCAGCTCATAGCTGTGTTCTTTTAAGGTGAAGCTTTTTCCCACAGACAAACCACTTACCATCTTTCTGGGCCCAAAGTTGGGTAAGGTTTGAATGTCTACTTTTATCCCATCATTTAGCAACATAGCCTTTCCCTGCTTGAAATTTTGCCTGTGTCCGAAACAGGTGTGAGGAGCTTGAGGTGGCTGGCTTGGTTGACAGGCTGAATGGCCCCTGCCCACAGCCTTGTCATCATTCCATGACTGACTGGGGGGATGGCTGTCATCTTAGCGGCATTCCTCCGCGAGCCGGCAGCTCCACGGCATGTGCCTCCTCCCTGCACGGAATGCTCGGACCTTGTTTCCACCCAGATGACTTTCGTCTTGTTACCAAATGCATCTTCCATCTTATGCTGATGACCCGCACTCGATCATATATAGTCTGGCTGGTTGCCTGAGCCTTTGTAATTCAGAATTTCACCACACGAGTCACATTCAAAATGGTGGACACAGCACCAGAGGTTACCTCAAAGGTGTTGTAGTAGAAGTGTGAGAGAAAGAGGAGTTTATCTGCATTTTTCTCTGTTAAAAGTACAAATCAATTGATAAAATATGTAGAATGGAGACGTTCATTTCTTCAGCACATATATATGCTGTTGCCTGTTCTGTGCAGAGCTGTGATTAAGTGCAGGGATACAGCCATGATAAGGCTTAGCTCCTGCACTCAAGCAGCTCCCAATGCAGAGGAAGGCCAACAAGCACACAGGCAGTTACTGTAGTATGGCTCACTTGGGGGAAGGCCCAACAGAGGTTCTCCAATGGCTAATAAAGTGTTTGAATACTTGGCTTCAGCCTTTCTTTCTCTTTCTATTTTGCTATGCAGTTGGAGCCTCCACCAGCAAAATTTGACCATTGTGTTGTCTCAGATTTTCTAACTAAAACAGGAGGTGTCATATGAGAAAGATAAGAGCTTGAAACATCTCGAGGTGGCCTGTTCCACGTTTGGAAAACTTGGTTCCTGGGTCCACCTTTTGCTGAGCATGGGCCCTCTTTGTCTTGGTTCCAGGCTACATCAGGGTATCCTGTTTCCCTCGTTTGCTGGGGCTTTCTTGACTCCAACTGACCCTTTTTTGGTTTTGTTTTACTTCTTATTTGCACTTCTGTTTTCTCAGGACTTTAGGTTAAGAGATTCCTGGGTGGCACAAAGGGCTAAGTGCTCAGATACTAACTGAAAGGTTGGTGGTTTGAACCCCATCCAGAGATGCCTCGGAAGAAAGGTCTGACAATCTGCTTCTGAAAGGTCGCAGACATGAAAACCCTACGGAGCACAGTTCTACTCTGCAACATATGAGGTCGCCATGAGTTGCAGTTGACTTGATGGCAACTGGTTTGGTTTTTGCTTTTTTTAAGGTTCAGATGGTAACTGGATTTTATACTTCCTATATTCCTTTCATTGGGCCCTACAAATGTTAGTGACAATCATTCATCATAGTAGAATGTCATATTTCCCTGCTGTCAGCTCCTGCAGCGTCACCAGAGTCGTCTAAAACACAGGCACGGCATGCTGCCCTTCTGCTCAGAAACACCGGAAGTCTCTTTATTTTTCCTGACTTTTTCCCCCCCTCTTTTTATTTTGTTTTGTTTTGTTTTTCTTCTAATATTGAAATTGACTTCATTGTTTATCTTTCTGTCATATGCATCAGCCCTGCATGCTCCTTGAAGAATCAAACAATTTCTACAAATACAGAAAAGAAAAGTCACTTAGGATCCCACTGCCCCGAGAGAACCACCATTGGCATTTTGGAGGCCATCTTTTCACGTATCTTTTTATGAATACATGCACACACATTTATGTAACACTTGCTGTTGTAATGTGGCTATTCCCTACTGCTCTCCTCCTCTCCATTGGCAACCTGCCCCATTCTAGCCTCCTCAACCTCAAATACCAGGTCAACAACCCAATATGTCCTGGGGAGTAGGCCCTAGCGTCAGAGAGCTTTGGGTTGAGTTCTGGATCTGCCACTTAGCGGTTGTATGATCCTGGACAAGTCTCTCAGGTTCTCCTTCTGTAAAATAGGGATAATAATCGTACTGATCTCAGAAAATTGTGAGGATTATATTCATTAATCCATATAAAGTACTCAGAACACAGCCCAGCATGTAGAGTTCATTAAATATCAGCTGTGTGCTGCTGCTGTTACTACTGCTGTATGCACAGGAGTTGCCAGGCTCGGCAGAAACAACAAAATACACAAAAAAGAAACTTCAGTCTAATTTGGGAGACCAAATAGAAACCCATGAAAAGTTAACAAATTAAAAAAGACATAATAGTTTAATAATGATGATAGAAAAGATATTGCAAAGCATGCTAATTGCCAAATGAACTGGGTAGTGCAGTTGCAGCAGAGTTTGCAGCAGGGGGGTACTGGAAAGAGATGGCAGATGGCTGATATATGAATTGGCTCTTCAAGGCCCAAAAGGAACTAAGTTGTCTTAGAGGAGGGGACATGTTCCATCGTCAAGATCATGGAAGTGTGAAGGTGTGAGGCCTGCTGTTATGGATTGAATTGTGTCCCTCAAAAATCTATGTCAACTTAGCTAGGCAATGATTCCCAGTATTGTGTGATTATCCATCATTTTGGGATCTGATGTAATTTTCATGTGTGTTGTGAATCCTACCTCTATGATGGTAATGAAGCAGGATTAGAGGCAGTTATGTTAATGAGGCAGGACTTAGTCTACAAGATTAGGTTGTATCTTAAGTCAATCTCTTCTGAGACATGAAAGAGAGAAGCGAGCAGAGAGACGGGGACCTCATACCACCAAGAAAGTAGTGTCAGGAGCAGAACGTATCCTTTGGCCCGGGCTCCCTGTGCTGAGAAGCTCTTAGTCCAAGGGAAAATTGATGGCAAGGACCTTCCCCCATAGCTGACAGAGAGAGAAAGCCTTTCCCTGGAGCTGGCACCCTGAATTCAGACTTCTAGCCTCCTAGACTGTGAGAGAATAAACTTCTGTTTATTGACACCATCAATTTGTGGTACTTCTGTTATAGCAGCACTAGATGACTAAGATACCTGCTCACAGAGCAGTGGTACGAGCTGAGGTTGGGAAGAAAGCTTGGGACCAGATGGTCAGCACCACGACGTCTGGGACAGACTGCGTGCCCCCTCACTGGTGTGGTCCAGCCACATCAGCCTGTGGCTGCACCGAGAGCAGCTCCTCTTTGCCTCCATGCGTCTGCATCCGTCTTCCTTTCCACCTTTGCTGAACAGAAGAGTCAACTACATCAGGCTCTTGTGTGAAAAGAAGTCTTACCTCCTGCTTCCCTGGTCTTTGTACTTTTCCTCCTTCTCTTATCTCCAGCCAACATCAGCACTTCCCCAGCAGGACCTCATCTGTTTTCCTTCCTTGTGGTCCTCCTCCTGTGCTGACCTGGACCATAGGGACCCTGCACCAGCATGGGAAAGGGCTCTGTCCTCCTGACTTTGTCCCTGGGGCAGCGAGTGTGTTTTAAAGTGCCTAATATTAAAAGCCTAGATTGCCTTGAAGAGACTGTTGGTGGAATTATGGACATCAAAGACAGTTCTGGTGAGGGCTCGGGAGGAAATGAGGAGAGCTGTTATACTAGAGACGGCGCAGATGGCAAGAAGCAGCAGCAGAACCAGGAGACCAGCGTGAGACAGTGCTGGCCTACCCACAGAGCAAGAGAGCTGAGTGCCCTTGCACAGGAGGCTTCCTGGCAGAGTGGGGTGCCTTAGGGCACTTATCAGTGGAGCT